CAAAAAAAAAAAAAAAAAAAAAGTGATTTTCTTTAAAAGTTAATGTACTGTTTAAGTATATGAGTACAAAACAGTATGTCAGGTCTGGCAGTCAGCCTCTGAGGCCAGTTCCACATCTGGACGATGGGATGGCAAATTACCATTGATATCCATGCAGCCCGCATGATGAGAACTGCACAGGGCACAAAGCAGTCAGACGCATGAGTTGAAAAGTGTATGTTGAAATGTGCTGTGTTCAAGTATAACCTGGGAAGGAGGAATCAAAACTTAAACTGGGCTCTTCTATAAATTCTTCCTCACTCAACCTATTGTAGATACATTCCATGCTTTGTCAGAAACAGCAAATCCAACGTGTGCTGGCTGGCTTTGGGAGTTAGGCGTTGACACGTCAAATGATGTCTGAGTTCTCCTCTGACACAGTTTATGAAACACGATAGAAAACGGTGCCCATAATACTGGCAGGCAGGTAAATGGGATGCGTGCCTCTTTGTTTTCCCCATTTCTGTAAGGCTTGACTCTGGAAAAAAGTCGGTGCCCATGTAAATTATTCATGAGCACTGTCTGGGATTCCAGTCAGCCAATAAGCCCCAGACAAAGGAATGAATAGTCTTTTTTTCCCTTAGCAAAGTGACTGATTGCTTATTTCTCAGCCCTCTCTTTTCTTGGTCTGTGGGCCACAGCAAGGCTCCAGACCTTCCAACCAAAGGCAAAGGGGCAGACTCTTTTCTTGCTGTAACTCCCAAGAGCTGGGCTTCTGTTCCTCCATGGAACGCAAGTGAACACATCTGAGAATCACGGTCAGAACACAAGGAGAAAAGCGCTTGAATGTAACTGGCCTGTCTCCTCTCACACAAGGCACAGTCCGCTGAGAGAGAGAAGAAAGGCATAAGGCACTACCTTCTAAAGTCCCATTTGATGATGACTTGCAAGTGGTACCACCTTTGTAACTTGCTGCAAAAGAAACACCTCCCCCAGAAAAAAACAAAAACATAAAACAGCCAAATAACAACAGCTCTATTTGGAGAGATCAGAGGCGTCATTCAGGCGTCATTCATCTTTTTAGCTCTGATAAAGGCCATCCCAGGACATGTATGATAAACAAGGCTGTCCTATGCTCCCACATTTCTCACTGTGCTCTCTGGATCAAATTCACACCCTCTGTGACCCAAATGTACCCTTTGCTCTCTGTGAATTACCAGGACTTGGTTTTCAAAGGCTCACCCTTAAGACTCTGCTCTCAGGCCAGTACCCTGAATGGAATTAAATTATCCCATGAAATAAATCCACAGGATAAAAATAGCATTGGAATCTATCCTAATTAAATGTGTTCCCTTCAAAGTCAACCATATCAGTTAGAGCCTGCACATGGAATTCAAGTCAAATTTAATTCAAGTGAATTAAATTCTCAGATTGGAACCGCAATATCAAGAACTGAAATAAAATTTCTCAAGATGTGGGCTGATAACTGCTTCACCAGAAACCACATCAGGCTACAATGTCCATCCTCCATATTTCAAGACAAATGAAACAGGGAGATGGAGAGGCAGTCACATCCCACACAGGTCATCTAGTATGTGCCTCACGTCAAGGTAATACAGTGCTTATGGAAAGCCTGAGTATTCAAGAAAACGATTTAGGCCTTACTGCTTTTCCCCACTGCTAGTCTGAATGTTTGTGTCCTCCCTGCCCCACATTATGTTGAAATCCTAACCCTCAAAGGGTGATGGTATTAGTAGGTAGGGCCTTTGAGGGGTGCTTAGGTCAGGAGGGTGGGGCCCTGATGAATAGGGTTAGTGCCTTATTAAAGGGGTTCCAAAGAGATCCGGACCCCTTCCACCATGTGAGGTCACAGTGAGAAGGTACCAGCTAGGAGCCAGGAAGAGGGCCCTCACCAAACATGACCATGCTCGTTCTTTGATCTTGGACTTCTAGTCTCCAGAACTATGAGAAATAAATTTCTGTGGTTTATAAGCCACCTAATCTGTGCTATTTTGTTACAGCAGCCTGAATGGACTAAGACACCCATTCTGCCTCATTTTCACAAATCAAAGTCGCCCTATCACCAAAAGGGGAGTGAGAACCCCACTCTTCAATGGGTTTACGTGACAGTTTACTTTAAGGTTGTACTCTAAGCCTTCAAGTCTCTCCTGAGGAGACAGTATAGCCCAGTGGTTAAAAACATAATTTGAATTCTGGCTTCACTACCAGTTAACAGTCTGGTTATTAACTCATTTGAAGATTAGTAATTCATCTAAGTAACACAAGTAATATTATTGTTATATAATACCACTGTTGGGAGGATTAAGGGAGAAATTCAGGTCAAGTACTGGGCCTGTAACAAGTACTCTGTTTAGCTCTTGTTGCCGTTGCTAATCTTTTAAAATTTACAACACAAGTTCCTGTCAAATAGGGAAGTGATTATTCTTAAAAATTAAATGTGGGGAAGGCTCTCCCTGGGCTAAACAGAGCAGAGATGGGTAGCTAAAGCAAGGAGAGGAGAACAAACGTGGAACACACAGCCCAGAGTCCGGTACCACCACCAGGAAGGACCTAGAACTCCCTCCAGCACCAGAGATCATGTCAGCAACCACCACCAATCATGCGCTGGGCGGAGGGCTGAGACAGGAGAAGTGCCCTGCTGGAGCCGCCAGGAGAACATCAAGTCCTGGTTGAGAAAGCTCAAAGCACAGGCCATCCAAAGTGACCTGGAGCCGCCTCATGACTTAGGAATGAGCGGAGATTCCCTATGACCTTCAAGGGACTACCCCACTGCTGGCTATCCAGCCTGGCTCCCCATGCTGTGCCCCATCTTCTACTTCACAGCGGGGGCTGTGACAGAAGAGCTGTGTCTACTTGAGGTTTCATGCTCTGCACTGCGAATTCACTAGAAAACATTTCTGCGCAGTGGCTGCTCTCCCTTCTTGTTTTTCCACTTCTTTCTGGTACCATCGACCAGTCCTACTGCATTCTTTACTGGTCTCACTTCTCTTTTCCTACTTTTTTCTCCCAGGGTACTTAAGAATATTCAGTTTTTAAAGCTCTCTCACACTTTAATAATGATGTTCATGCTGTCATGAGCTCACGAAAGGAAGAGCCTTTAGCAAGCTAATAAACAATCAGGAAATTCTTTACTTCAACATTCATGTGCCTAATATGAGGCAGACTTTTTCTCAAGGGAAAGAATCAATTGCTTCTCAAGAGGGGAAAAAAAAAGGAGTATGTGTGGCAACTAAGTCATAATGTGATGTAAAGAGCAGGATGACATTGTCAACAGGGGAAAAAAGGGAAATTTAAGAATAAAAATGATCTAACACTCACTATTACATTTCCTACCTTACTCAGCTTTGTGTCTGACTAAAGTTTAATTTGATCTCCCCTGAGCTCTGAGATCTAAGAACATCAACCAGATTTCAAGCCCATTTAAAGTATGATATATTACGATCAAAAGATTGTGTGTCATGAAATGGAATGAAACAATATTTGGGAGGGGGCTTCAAGTGATAGGTATCATCAAGCAGGAGGACACTGCCATCAACAGGTCACCTCTTGGCTCCTGGACTGGTAAGCCGCAAGCTCACTGGACTGTGATTCCTAATCATGGCAATTTAGGGCAAGAGGCAGCCACATGCTCTGCAGTTTAGGCATGGATTCTGAACATGGAACGAATCACTCTCAAGGTTAAAACAGAAAAAAGAGAGCAGCCACGTGTTCAGCCCTTTGCAGGGTTTGGCCTTAGAAAACTCCAGCTGAACAAGTTTATGTTCTGAGACTCTCAAGCCTATTTTACGAATACCACACGTGGGGCAAGTTTTAGTTTGCAGGCTGTGGTATTCATTCATTCTAATGGACACACAAAGCTTTGTGAATTTAGCTCCGAAAACATTTCAATTGTTCATCATGAGAAATGGAAGGATGGGTTGAACAGGGGAATGAACCAGGGATGAATTACGAGAGGGGTTACCAGCAACCAAAACTCACCTATAGATGATTCCTTTGTCGTGTAG